CTGTGAGATCATGCCCTCCAGGGGAGGGTGATTTCTCACTTTGACTCTCACTGTCTCTCTTCTCTCTGGTGAGTGCACGTGCCCTGTGGCAAAGAAACAAAACAAAACAAAGTCACGGAATAACCCATTAGTCTTTCCTTGTCTCCAAGGATTCCAAGTTTGCATCCCACGTCTCCCCAGCAGAGAAAATCAAAGGTTAGGAGGAAATGGCATAAGTGTTGGGGAAAGAGGCGAAGGAGGTGTCAGGAGGAAGGAGTTGAGTCACATGGGACCCTGTCTTTGGCCAAAAAACTTCCACAGTGGATGTCCTGCAGAACTGAAGGGCCAGAGCCACGGGCTCTGCTGGGAGGAAAGACAGCAAGACGAGGGACACGGTGTATGATTCACACCCTCCGCCCAGCTGGCTCTGAGGGGTGTGGATTCCACAGTGGACACGTCTAGAGTGAGCTCCCCCAGTAAGAGCTAGGGGAGTTGAACTCACCCCCCGCCTCTCACAGCGGGGGCCTGTGGATGATGGGACAGTGAGGAGACCCACTCCCAGGGATCACTCGGAGCAGTAAGGCCAAGTCTATGGCTACCAGAGGGAAATGACAGGGGGCTCTAACTGGAGAAGGATGAGCGCACACGGGCACACACACACACACACACACTAATCAATGCACAAATAAATACAAATTAAAAGAATAATGTAAAGAAGCCCTGAAAGTGGAATAGAATGATCATTTCTGTATTTGGGATAAGTACGTATTAGGGTCTGCGGCAGAGATAATAATTCAAGTGGTTATCAAGTTACGTACCCCACCAGACGTGCCTGTTTGACTCAGCACATAGACCCTAGACTCGCTTTTTAGTGGCCTTTCCCCGGCAATGCCCTTTTCTCCCCACACTTACTGCTGATCGGATGTAGGTAGTGCATTCAGCTGGAAAGCCAGCGTCAGCCTGGGAGGACTCTGGGGGACACTGCGCTCTGGAGTTGGCTTCCGAGATAATCCCTTCTCCCACCTTTTTCCCAGCCCCACCGACAGCCCCTCCATTTCTCTTCTTCCTCCTGACCTTCAGCCGTAAATTGTGCAATGCTGTAGAGGACTTGGCCCTGCTCCTGTTTCTCTTCATTGCTCGTATTCTGTCTGTCTAGAAGACTTCAGTGTCATGAATTTAGATATTTCCAAATGCTTTTAATTCATAAATCTCTTCCATATTCCAGACCTGGATCAACTACTGCCTCTTTGATGTCTTCATTTGCAAGTGCAATTTACCGCTCCAATTTAATGTGTCTAAAGATGAGGCCTTAATTGATTCCAACTTGTGTAACCTCTCATTTTGCCTTTCTCAATAAATGGCACCACGAATCCACCCAGTAGCTCAAACCCAAAACCTGCCACTCATTGCTGAATTTTCGTTTC